TATAGGGTTTCGGGCTTAGGGGTTTAGGGTTTAGGGCCCGCTCCTGGACCATAATAGCGACTCCACATACTAAGAGCAGAATCGCAGCTTGAGCACCCAGGAAGTGCCAGGGAGGACCGCGGGGGGCTGCGCCCTCCAGGCAGAAGTGGCATGCAACTTCCACCACACAAACCTGGTTCCCAGTTAGGGCCATATTAAAAATGATCATTTTTAATTCTTACTAGGGTTTTACTATAACAAAAATGTAAAATTGTATCCAACAAAGGCCCAGAAACGAAAGTCTGACATGGGATAATCACCGGCGTGTCGTGTATGACGGCAGCCACAAAGACGCGGAGGGCCGCCGAGTAAACCGAGTGGAAATTGTAATCTGCTTCCTCTGCAGATACGTGCATGTTGATGACGTAGGAGACGTGACCAATATGTGAGAGGAGATTGAGCAAACGAAGCGTGTGGAAAGTGACATTCCATCTCGCCACCCAGCAGGCGGCGAGATATTGCAGGAAGACCACCGAAAACCTGGGTTCTTGTTAAGGGATTGAATTGAAGCTACTATAACAAGGAAGCCATATCATTTACTATACATCCCTGTTATGGTAACCTAAATTTATAATCCCTTATTACGAGAGCCCAGAAACTGGAATGTGGAGGCAAAGTCCGGCTGCTGCTGCAAGCGGTACGCGTGAATCGCGACTACGACGGCAGCGAAGTTTGACACGTATCTTAGAACTTGCTGGTAGTGTTCCAGCATCATCTTCTTCATGGCATCTTCCACAAGCCGATCCTGCAACTCCGGCTTCTTCAATGTCTCGGCCCCTCTCTGAATCCAGCTCAACCAGGCTGTCGACAAGCCCTCCAAATCCCAGCCTGCCAAAGTGGCATGGACAGGAAGGAAAACTATCCCGCAGGCCAGAGCTGCCGGAGCCGGAAGCATTGCAATGAACTCTGCGCCCTGAACCCTAAACCCTAAACCCTTACAACCCTAAACCCTAAGGAGGCGCGGCACGGGAGCCTACCAGCTTCGAGCCCGGAGTCCTGGGAACAAGTCAGATTTTTGGCTTGGACTAAAGGAAACTACAGGTGGGGAGTTTAGGGTATATAGGGCTTCTATAAGGCTTCTATAAGGTATAGAGAGCTTCTATAAGGCTCCTATAATGGTAGCTACCCACCTGAAAATATCCTAGATTGGAGAGCGGAGGCATTTCATGCACACACATGCACACGCACATACACGCATGCATACACACATACATACATGCGTGCACATACATACATGCAGACAGACAGACAGACAGACAGACAGACAGACAGACAGACAGACGGAAGGACAAACACGTAGACAGAAGCTTAAACGTACACATATACCGTAATACATACACATATACATATACATATACACATACACACACACACATGTGCATGAACATTACATTTTCACATACAAAGGCACAAAGATCTACCCTTGCATATGTACATGTACATATATGTGTGAACATTACATGCTTAAACAGCTATATATGCACAAAAAACACTTTACACATATACACATGCATACACATACACATATACATACACATACACATATTCACAGAGACGCATACATACATACGTACATACATACATATATACATACAACACACACACACAATTACATAAACGTACATACAAGCATGCAGGCACACACATACGTACAAGCCTGCACAACCCTCTGGTACCAAAGCTCCGGGCCTTCTCCGAGAAACCGTTTCCTTGCACCGTCAGCGTGCAGGGCAGGCCGTTGGTGCAGTAGAATTGCTGGCAAGAGAGAGAAGCAGCGAAGAAGGGGACGGGGGTCATAAGGGTTCTAGAAGACCTACGGGCTCTACGATAAGGGTTCTATGATAAGGCTTGTATAAAGATTTTTTAGGTAGGGTTAGATCAGAAAGGCTTATAGCAAAGTTCTCCAGTAGCACGAGGTCTATAGGGATTCTAGAAGGGCTTTTGGAGCTAGGGATTGGAGGAAAGAAGCGACTTAGGCCTATCAAGCAGTACTGTTGATGATATAAATCCTGCGCTACTTTAAGGCCCTAAACTGTGGGAATTATGGTATATTCCCTATACATTATAGGTAATGCAAGACTTATACTATCAAGCAGTATGTCATGGGCCCATGCTTAGAAGGCACAACCCTTATAAAACAGCAGGAGACTGGATTCCCCGGATGCAAGGGCCTCTCGGGGTTCTATGAAGGCTTTTAGCTGATTTTAGCGACGGCCGGTACCACAAACCCTAGAGTACCCTTAAAGGAACCCCCTAAAAAGGAACCCTTAAAGGAAACCCTTGAACTTGAGTGCTTTTACCATAAGCCGGCGCTTGCTAGGGTGTTTAGGTGTGAAAGCTCGGGCTCCACAGGGCTCTGCTGCTCTAAGGGTTCGGAGGGGGGGGAGTGGTTCTTGCTTTTTGCTCATATATATGTATATATATGTATGTATGTATGTATGTATGTGTATTTATATATATATATGCATCCCAATAACAGAAACTATGCTTAACAACCCTAAACCCTAAACCCTAAACTTCCAAACCCTAAACCCTAAATCCTAAACCCTAGAATCATCCTAAGTCCCATTCTGCAAGAAACCAAGAAACCATGCAGAAACCTGCGGCCACCTGCACTTGCGGCTGAGGGCCCAGGGACCCAAAAATCACACGAAGGCGGTTGTTGCCGCGATCCTGGTTTAGGGTTTAGGGCTTAGAGTTTAGGGTTTATCGTTTAGAAGTTTAGGGTTTAGGCTTTGGCAGAAAGTCTTGGAAGCCACTTCCTCTACATGTCTCCAGAGTTTAGTGTTTAGGGCAGGCGTTTATGAAGCCGGATCTGAAACAACTGTTCTGGGGCACAAGGGATCTTGCAAATGAGAATAGAATAAATTTAGTGCAATCGTCAAAAACTTTGGGAAGATGCTGCTGAGGCTATCTATTTTGCATAGGTCTTGAAATCTTAGACCCTAAACCCTAAACCCTAATATGTCTTAACTAAACCCTTAACCCTAAACCCTAAACCCTAATATGTCTTAACTAAACCCTAAACCCTAAACCCTAATATGTCTTAACTAAACCCTTAACCCTAAACCCTAAACCCTAATATGTCTTAACTAAACCCCAAACCCTAAACCCGAAACCCTTAACCCCTAAACCCCTAAAACCCTAAACCCTAAACCCTTAAACCCTAAACCCGAAACCCTTAACCCCGAAACCCTTAACCCCTAAACCCTAAAACCCTAAACCCTAAGATGTCTTAACTAACGGGGTAAAAGGGGCGGAAAGAGCCTCCCAGGATGCTCGGGAGCGAAGGGCTGGGCTTATTTCCCAGAGGGCCCAAATTACCCCCCCTGAGTTAAGGAATATACCCTAGGGTTTAGGGTTTCTTAGGGTTTTAATATAAGGTTTTGTAGGATTTCTTAGGGTTTTAATATAAGGTTTTATAGGGTTTCAATAGGGTTTTAGAGTTCCCTGAATTAAGGAATATACCCTAAATTATAGGTGCCTTAATATTATGATTTAACTTATACTCCCTTATTTAAGGGGTATTGAGCTCGCCGGGTTCTGGCAAACGCTCAGAGGCCGAACAACTGGGGTGCTTGGTCTGGAGCTGTACCTAAGTGAACATAGGGTTTAGGGTTTGGGGAATAGGGAATAAGGTTTAGGGCTTAACTTAAGTTTAAGTTAGGGACCTGAACAAATAGAATAAGGTTTTTTGGGTTTTTTAGACGATCATTATAGTAAGGAGCCCTAAGAACAGTATATATTTAAATTAGGCCCCTATATTACCCAAATAAGTTCATAACCTGGAAGATATTGTTTTCATTACCATAGCTCCCTATTACTAACTAGAACCAAAATAGAAAAGATGTGTTTCAGAACCTCGTGGAGTTGAAAAATGGTCATGGGAAATAAGTCCTAGCCAAGAGCACCAAAGACAAAGGTACCTAAACCCCTAAACCCTAAACCCTAAACCCCCAAACTCCTAAACCCCTAAACCCCCTAAAAACCCCTAAACCCCCTAAAGCCCTAAACCCCCTAAACCCCTAAACAAGATGAAGGTACCTCACTACAGTTCCTAACACGACAGCCCAAGAGACTCCACTATCCCTTAATTAGGGAAGATACCTTAAATCTTATTAGGGTTCCTATTATAACTTAAAGGATATCCCTTAATTGAGGAATATAGCCTGAAATTATAATCGGAACCCCAATGTAAGATTTAAGGTTATGTTCCATAATTAAGGGATATTGCTCTGGGAACCCTAAGCCCTAAACCCCCAAACTCCTAAACCCCCAAACCCAAACCCTAAACCCTAAGCCCTAAACCCAAACCCTCAAACCCCTAAACCCTAAACCCTAATCCGTTCTTAACACGACAGCAAACGGGGAGTCGGTCCCCGAAGAAGAGGTTGCGCGTCGCGCCGTGGGCTGCCAGTTGGCTCGGGTTCTCCTGGGCCCGGTTTAGGGGTTAGGGGTTTAGGTTTGTGGGGTTTAGGGGTTAGGGTTTGGGTTCAGGGTTTAAGGGTTATTTAAGGGTTTAGGGTTTAGGGGCTTTAGGGGTTTAGGGCTTAGGGTTTGGGGTTTAGGTTTTTAGGGGTTT